GTAATATTTTATTCAAAGATGTATTGCTGGTAATATTTTTTTCAAAAATGTATTGCTGGTAATAATGTATTGCTGGTAATAATATTTTCTTCAAAAATTCATTGCTGGTAATATTTTTTTCAAAAATTCATTGCTGGTAATAATTTTTTTCAAAAATTCATTGCTGGTATTTTTTTTTTTTTCAAAAATGTATGGCTGGTCATAATGTATTGCTGGTAATAATATTTTCTTAAAACGTTCATTGCTGGTAATATTTTTTACAGAATGAAGCCGAGAATACTATGGAGCAAATATGTGAGCAACTGTATAGCTGGTATTAAAATCTATTTTTACACTTTCATAGTGTTTTGGTTCCAGTTTGGGGGTTAACTATTTGCCCATAGCTGGGACCCTAATATGTGCTACCACCCCGGGTCAGGGTGGACCTGGGAACACCAGCAATTAAGAGGTGGTTCCACGCTCCTCAAAACATCCTGATCAGAGGCCTTGCTGTTGGACGTAGTTTATCGTCTTACCCAGGACGCAGACGTAGGTTATCGTCTTACCCAGGACGTGGATGTAGTTTATCTTCTAACCCAGGACGCGGACGTAGTTTATCGTCTTACTCAGGACGCGGATGTAGTTTGTCGTTTTACTCAGAACGCGGACGTAGTTTATCCTCTTACCCAGGATGCTGGATGTAGTTTATCATCTTACTCTGGTCGCAGACGTAGTTTATCGTCTTACCCCGCACGACACTTGAACTTCTGCGATATTCTTAAATTATAATGATCAAAAAGAGTATACATTTTTTTTATTTATTTATTAACAAAAACAAAACAATAAATTATAATTTATAATAAGAAGATAATAATCAATATTCTTGTATTTATTTATTTTTTGTTTATTACAATTTAACATTTAATGAGATATGTGGGCTTGACGTTTTTTAGGATATCTTTGCAAGGTCGAATTTTGGACAGGCATACTCTTAAATCTTTTTCCAAGGATTCTAGCTGTGATCGATTTTTGTTTTTAATATTGTTTATTACAGAAAAGCTTGCTTCGCACAAATATGACGTTGAGAATGTTTTCTAATTTTTGTTTCTTTAATTAAAAACTTGTCCATTTTAATTGAACGCTATGTAATTAAAATAATAAAAATACGTTCAGTACGAGCTACATGTCTTCACTATTTCGGGGACCATCAATACGTACAGAATGAGGAAATACTGAGACATTGATTGAGCTCGACAAACAGTATATCGTTGTTCATCAGCAAGTTCCTGTCAAACTGCGCCATCTATGGACCTCATTTGGAACACACCACCAACTTTATATTGTGTATACGTTTATTTTTTTTTTTAATAACAATGGTATACTCGTATAATAAAATTAAAGGGGTTTTAATTTTGATATGTACACATATTGTACTTAGGATATCTTTCGGAAATAATTAATGTCATTTACAAATTTTTGCGGGACACCTTCGATACTCTTACGGCACTTCGGTGCAGCACATCTGTTAAAAATTACAGACTTAATGAAATAAATCATTTGTTAAAGAATTTGGGGACAATAACTGTGAATTCAATTTATGTATCTGGTGATATAAACATACTCAGATTCAATGGAAACAGAACTACCAATAAGTGAATATTTAACATAGACATAACATTCCTAGAGATGAACAGTGGAATGAGAACAACGTACACCCATAGACTGAATAAAGGGTCAAAGTCAAAATTCAAGGGGAGGTTATCTCGATCAATAGACACCTGATGAAGGCGGGGGGACACAACGACCGAAACGTTGTGATCGTAACAGCAAAAATGACGATATTAGTCTGACTGTAAATAATGAAAACAGTGCATACATAGTTCGTGGAGTATTTATTTTCTGTATAACCGAATGACAAATACGATACAATGTATTGAGTATTTATTTAGTATAACCATGACTATAATATGCAACACAAATCATTTTCTTGTACTGAACTGTTATGGAATATCAGTCCTCTTATATAGCAAGGAATGCTGGACAATTTTCTCACAGATGAAGAAGAGACTTGGAGCAACAGAAAGAAAAGAGTACTGAACTGTTATGCAATATCGTTCCTCCTATATGGCAAAGAATGTTGGAGAATCTTCTCAAAGATGAAGTAGAGACTTGCAGCAGTAAAAATAAAGAAGAGAGTACTGAACAGTTATATAATATCGGTCCTCGTAAATGGCAATGAATGCTGGACAATCTCCTCACAGATGAAGTAGAGACTTGAAGCAACAAAAACAAAGGAGTACTGAACGTTTATGTAATATCAGTCCTCCTATATGGCAATGAATGATGGGCAATCTTATAAATGAAGAAGCGACTTGAAGCAACAGAAATGTGGTTCTACTTGAAGGATGCTGAGGACCGATACATGTGAGCTACAAAGAAGTTCTAGAGACAATGGCAATAAAAAGTCACTTATAACTAACATCAGGAATAGACAGTTGACTTTTCTAGGGTTGATAGTTAGGAAAGAGGGTTTGGAAAATTTGATACTCACAGTACAGATTGAACATAAGTGAGACAAAGAAAACAATGAATAGCCTACCTGACAAGCTTGAGTGAATATATCACGGAGCAGGGTTTATGAAATATGACAAAATAAATTCGTTAAGAGAGACAAAAGAGATAGTGGAGAGCCACGATCGCTAACGCAGAGAAAACCAAGAAGTAGACAATAAATTGAAGTTTGTTTATAAACCCGGTGATATATGGTATAAAAATTATCATAGGTACTAAAAATATATATTTTAATGTCAGATAAAAAAAAAATTAAACAAGATGATTACCTAGAAATGAAATACATATTTTGCATTATGTGAAATTTAGAGTTTATTTTCTATAACGTTGCTTGAAATAAAATGCTTGTTCTTTTCGTGTCAGGTTTATTTATTCATTTTGTTTTCTCATAGATGCAAAGTATAACACAGGATTATTTTTCGTGTAATAAGTTGTTTATTTTACATAGACATAGTTGCAATATATATGACAGATTTTTTTTTGTTAGTAGTTAACAAAAATGGCTCGATCATCAATGTTTGCTGAAAGTGTCAGGATATAGTAATTACCTATTCACCTGCTGCGCAACAAAGGTACTGTCTGGATACGTATCCCCTCTACCAAGGTGTAAATTAACCCATCAATTTAACTAGTTTTTGATGTTCTACACTGATTTTTTTCTTTCAATATAAGGAAGAGATAAATTTGACAGCGGTTGAATTTTCACAAACATCTGATCAGGTAATGCCCACGTGTCTAGTAGTTAAGCCACCATGGATTTTATTTGTGTTTTCTAATTATTACTTCTCTATTTTAATCTTTTTTTTTCCACCTTTTTTCACAAGCCAAGAGTTACACAAGGAATTAGGATATTTGTATCTGCCTTTCAAGACATCTCCAATACAACACTGGCTTATTCCACTTGTCGGCAAATAAGAGTGGATTCCTCTGCAGAAAACAAAAAAAAAAAAAAGAATCCCAAATATGTCCCTTTAAATTTGACAAGGACATTGTTTAGTCTTAAATACCTCAGTTTCTCTTCCTCTCTTTTTCTGTCTATCTGGCAGATTGTCACTCATTTTCTACCTCGCTATCTTTCTTTGTATCTTTTATTTGTTTTTATCCTATATATTTATTTTTATTTATTCACCAAAACAGCAGGTGCTTGCAACAAAACACACTCGTATATATCAGGAGGATGGAGACGCTGTAACTTTTTTACGTGACGGATTTAACGAAGCCTTTTCTGTTCTTTTCTTTCTTTTTTTTTTTGTCTTCTTCCTTTTAAAGATGTTTTCGTTCCAGATTGATTTCTTTAATGTTGAAAAGCAAATTCCTTTCATGAAGTGAGTGCCCTCTTGGACAGTTGGGCGAGAGTGGGGAAGAATCATTTGTTTCCTTTTCCTTTTCTTTTTCTTTAATACCTTATTTCAAGTTGGATGTCACGTAATCATAAAAAAAAGCGTCTAGTCAGACACCGAAAGTGTCAAAGGAATCGGAAGTCACAGCTGTTCCAAATGAGAGTTCGAATCCTTATACAGGTTACCTTACTGCAGACTTCGTTTATGTGTGACACGTTTTAATTTTATAATTATACTAGAAAGAAGACATTTTTCATCGCTGTTAAAATACATTCTCACATACTTTATATATATATATATATATATATATATATATATATATATATATATATATATATGCAAAAATAGAAAATAAAAAGAACACGTTAGATAAATAATACGTTCTTTAGTATTTTTGTTTTTATTAAAAAAAAACAAACAACAAAAACAGTGCTCCATACAGAAGAAGAGCTTAAATTATAATTATTTAAAAAAAAATGATTCCTTCGCTACATAAGAGTTCTCATGTTTCAAAAACAAGAGCCGAAAACCATAATATAATTATTAATATTAAACTGAATTAAAGTATCAAGCCCTGTTTCATCCTCAAGTGAAAATTTAGGAATAACCAATCTTGAAATTTACGCATCTTTATAAGCATGTTCATTCGCAAAATAACTATGGAAACGGCTGGAGCTACCATTTTGATAAGGGGCGTATGAGTTAACAATTTGTATCACCATATCAGACACCTTCGGAAAGAGGTCAAGCCGAGGCAGGGCCGGGGTGTCCATTTCAAAGCGAATGATATTGAGGTTTTTGGCTCTTGGTTTTGAAACATGAGAAGTCTTATGTAGCGAAGGAATCATATTTTTTAAAATAATTATATTATATTATATATATATATATATATATGTGTGTGTGTGTGTGTGTGTGTGTGTGTGTGTGTGTGTGTGTGTGTGTGTGTGTGTGTGTGTGTGTGTAATAGAAGTAAAATTTTCTTACTCTGAATTTCACGGAACTGTATCCACTTTCCAAGAGACTTTATTGTGAAAAGAAATTTACCGTCACGTCTCAGAGAGGATACAATTCTGTGAAACTCAGAGTAGAGTTAAGACAAATCCATATTTGACGCTTAAGCCCATGTTGAAACACCGGTTCCCGTACGATCACTGAAGTTAAGGAAAGTCGAGCCTGGTCAGTAGCTAGATGAGTGACCACTTGGAATTATTAATCGGAGTGATGAGTTACAATTACGCGCAAATACCGTGTGAATGGTATAAATCCACCAGTTCTCCTCCCAACTATGGGTTAAGTAATGAGACTTATATGACTAAAACCATTATTATCTTAAAAAAGTAAAAATAAAATAAAATTGCGTAAAATTATTTAGATTTTGGCATTAAATAAACTATAGTGATTAATATGCTATTGAACAAAACAACGAACAAACGTATTGCTATTAATGATATAAATAGTTAATACCATAGTACCAGTGCCAGCATCACCGTGAACAACGAACCACTGAAGGAAATGTCCAGCTTCAAACACTTGGGAGCAAGTCAAAAGATGGCACCTACAAAGCAGAGATTCAACATATGGATCACCACAACCACAGCAACGACGGCCGGACAGGAAAGGATATGAAAGAGCAACGCTAGCTTCGATAGCATGTTTAAGCTCTACAAATCACTGGTCGTATCCAGCTTCCACTATGGGTATGAGATTTGGAGATTCCAAGTTGAGCAAGGAAAAAGGATCCAGGCCTGATAATTGGTTGAGTTTAAGCATGAAAGCGACTGTCGACTTTGGGTGTTGACTTTAATGTTCAATTTTATATTTACATATACTCTATCCATGATATCGATGAGGAGTTTAAACTACAAATATAGCATACCATAAAACTGTATTTTTTATATATATATATATATATATATATATATATATATATATATATATATATATATATTCGCAGATGGAGTGTATCTCTAAAAGAGGCAATATATATATATATATATATATTAAAGTGTGCAGCTTATATTTTTTATCATGAAGAAACAATTTACACAAAAAATTAAATAGCAATATTAATGTGATTTCGTTATTAATCATATTAACATTGCAATTCAATTCTTTGTATAAATTGTTTCTTTACGATATAAAATAATAGTTTCGAACGCTAATATATTTACCACATCTGATAGACACAAATACAATAAAATTTTGTGGATTTATAACTTTTCAAAATTCAAACAAAATTCTCACTTCATTGATCTGAACAAGAACTCTAGCGTCGCGGCATCGCACGCTCCAAAAGATATTTTCAACTCTCAATAAATAGAAGAATTTGAAAAAACATATTTCGCTTTACACATATTTCGTCTTAGGTTTTGCCTATGTATGGGAAAATTGCTCCTTGAAGAGGATAATTTGAAATTGTCGAAAGTTCTTGGCCTGTGTCTTCCATCTGACGACAACTCGAATATAAGGATCCTATTATTCAAGGAATTGATAGTAAGTTAATGTCTCATTAAGTCCTGTAGCGAAATGATTCGCCCTTAATCCCATTAACATTGCTATTTAATTCTTTGTATAAATTGTTTCTTTGTGATAATATATATATATATATATATATATATATATATATGTGTGTGTGTGTGTGTATGTGTGTGTGTGTAATTGAGACTGTAATCCAATGCTTCACCGGCATTATTCAGGGTAATTCATTGACAATATATTTTATATTTCTCTTTATTTTATATAAAATATTTCCTTTAGATAGAAAGCCTAATTATTGCAGTACAGGACCAAAGCTTCGCAATTAGATCCTAACACTGTCATACAATCAAGGATGGAACTAACCCAAAATGCAGAGAAATTATGATGAAATTGCCGGCCATATTACTTTAGGATGTCCGGAAGTAGCAAAAAATGAGTCGTAAGATAGCGACATATGTGCACTGGAAGATATGAAGGAAGCACAAAATCGAAACCACTGAGAGATGGTATTACCGCTAACCAGACGCAGTTACCCAAAATAATAAAACTATCCTCTTGGACATGCCAATTCAAAGTGACAGGAAACTAAAAGCCAACAGACCTGCTATTATAAAAGACAAGCAGTAGCAACTAAGAGAAACACCTCAATGAAAATTATCGAGAAATTGTCCAGATACAAGGAACTAGAGATCGGGATTAACAGGATATGGGGAATGAAGCCTGAAACCAATAGTAATCGGGTCTCTGTGGTGCGTGAGAAAAGGAATGGACAATTTTACTAACGGTGTCTCAGGTAACATCAACATACAAGTTGACCAGAAGATAGCCCTAATAGGAACATCTCATATACTAAGGAAAGTGCTATCAATTAAATGACGATTCTCTTATAGGGCATAAGGACCATAGTTTGGACCCGGCTTTACAGGATACAAAGCAGGAAACAACATATACAAATAAAAATAATAATAATAATAATAATAATAATAATAATCTAGAAATCTCGAAAATGTGACATATGGGAACATCAACAATCCCTGTTGCAGTTGGAGCCCTAGGACTGGTTGGAAAATATTGCAGTAGACTAATTGAAGGGATTCCTGGAAGTCCATGCCTCAAGGAGAGACAAAAAATTGTTCTGACAAGTACAGCCCAAACTTTACGAAGGGCTTTATATATGTAATTTCTTTTTTCAGTGGAAAGTGTCATGATGCCATTTCTAACCTTAGGTCCCTGGGCGGGACCCGGAAAGAAATGTGTAAACGCCAGAAATCAAAGAAAATAATAATAATAATAAAAAACAAGAAATTCAGGAAGTGTATGCTTATTGATATAGCAGTACCATCTGAAAGATTATTATTATTATTATTATTATTAATAATAATATTGTTGTTATTTATTTATTTGAATTTATTTAGTCATTGTTATTGTGTAGATGTCTCGAGTACGAAGGAAGATATTCTACTTGTTTCGTCACAAAGATCTCAGACAGACAATACTTATCGAGTTTCACAATAAGCCGGATTTTTGTGGCGTTCTGATGTATTACATAAAATTGGATAATATATTCTTAAAACTTTATTGGAATGAAGCCAAGTGCTCCCATTACAACCGGAATGACTAATATTTCTCTCTGGCATTTTCCACAATCTGGTAATGTCAACCTTTCATTTCCGAGTAGTTGCTGATTTTTTCTATTTGCTTTGTTGTCATAATATAGTCAGTAGATATGGTCACAATAATTATTTGACATTATTATTATTTTTTTTTTTTTTTTTCTTTGATTTCTGGCGTTTACACATTTCTTTCCGGGTCCCGCACAGGGACCTAAGGTTAGAAATGGCATCATGACACTTTCCACTGACAAAAAAAAAAAAAAAAAATTACATAGATAAAGCCCTTCGTAAGGTGTGGGCTGTACTTGTCAGAACAATTTTTTGTATCTCCTTGAGGCTATTATTATTATTATTATTATTATTATTATTATTGTTGTTGTTGTTATTGTTATTTCCTTTGATTTCTATTCTATACCCATTCACTTTAGAGTCCCAATCAGAGACGTAAGGCCAAAAACGGTTTCATGACATTTTCCACTGATCAGTTTGTAAAACAAAAAAAAAAACAAAACAAAACAAAAAACGACAAAAAAAAAAAAAACTAAAATCACACATATTTGACATATATAAAGGTATTATTATTATTATTATTATTATTATTATTATTATTATTATTATTACCTATTCGCGCTATTGTCTTCACCTTGTCTGTTTGAGCAAATATTTCGTCCGTTGAATTTTCTGTATTACTTAGCCGTTTATTAATTTTGAAACACACCTTTTGTTCAATCAACACAGGGAGATTACTCTTATTCCGATAGCCATTATATGGAATATCTTAACTCACTGTACTGAGTATCTCTCTCAAGATTATACCAAAATAAAATTTGTACTGAGTATAGCACCAGACCATCAAGGGCGCCAGGTATAGCGTTTTAGTGAGGTAACCTCCCTCCTGCCAAGTACAGAATTACATTGCTACAGAGATGCTCTTAGTCTGCGTAGGAAACAATTGTATTACATAGATTTATATAAACACCCACTACAGCGGTGAATGTGTAGTCTCTCAGACGACTCAGACGAAAATATAAGGGACACGTTTCGGATAAAGGGCTCTGGCCGATGGAAAGTGAAGAAATCTTGAGTTGTGATTTTAAGTATAAGATAGTTAAGTTTCGGATTATCATTTGGTTTGATCCTCTATTTTATTATTATTATTATTATTATTATTATTATTTCGATTTCTGTTATGGTCACACTACCTACTAAGTCTGCGGGAAGAACTATAATCAGGTAGTGGTGTGTTGTTATGGTTACATTTCATGATTTGTTTATCTAACTCCCATAACATCGCTAGGGTTACAAGGACAAAGTTCTCCTTAGTGTGTGGGCTGTATTTATCAAGACAATTTTTTGTATTTCTCTTAAGCTGGGATTTCCAGACATGTTTAAATGTGTTGTTGGGTTCCCTTTTTATCATTCCAAGCGCACCTATTAAGAATTACTATACTTGTTTTCAATTTCCACATTTTTCTTCTATTTCGATTTCCTTGATTTTATACTTCGACACATTTTCAAATTCCTTCTTTGCTATATTACAGTCCGCTGGGCAAGCCATATCAATTAGTTGGCAAGTTTTTTCTTTTCAGTTTTTGACAATTATGTCCAGCTTCTTCTTCTTCTTCTTCTTTTTCTTCTTCTTCTACTTCTTTCTTCTTCTTCTTCTTCTTCTACTACTACTACTACTACTTCTTCTTCTTTCTTCTTTCTTCTTCTACTTCTTCTTCTACTTCTTCTTCTTTTTCTTTCTTCTACTTCTTCTTCTTTCTTCTTCTACTTCTTCTTCGTCTTCTTCTTTCTTCTTCTTCGTCTTCTTCTACTTCTTCTTTCTTCTTCTTTTTCTACTTCTTCTTCTTTCTTCTTCTTCTTCTTCTTCGTCTTCTACTTCTTCTTCTACTTTTTCTTCTTCTTCTACTTCTTCTTTCTTCTTCTTCTTCTTCGTCTTCTTCTACTTCTTCTTCTTTCTTCTTCTTTTTCTACTTCTTCTTCTTCTACTTCTTCTTCTTCTTATTATTTGCAGATGATCTCTCGCCTAATCTGGCAGAATGTAAGAAAACGAGTTGGTCACATTTATTACTTAAAAAACAAACTAGTGACTTTCTGTCATCAACAAGCAAACAATATTTGGTAAGAATAGTTTTCTCGAGTGCACTTGATGTTATTCATCATTTCTGCTATTGATGGGAGTTTTCTGTCTAAAAATTTGATTTAATGTGGAAAGTCAACGCTCGGCCCGGTGGCTAGGATCAAAGTGTAGTATCTGTGCTTTGTGAGCTGCCGAGCCGGGTGTCTGTCGAACTCTCTGCTTGCAGAGAGGAACCCGGACGAAGCTCCGCCGAAGGGTAGGGTTTCGTTCGGGGAGGTTGACGGAACTAGCCCTGCTTGGTCGGGTTTAGATGGGTTTTATTTTTGGCTGGGCCTACGGGCTCAGACATACCCACATTAAAAAGGCCTTGTGCCACATTCAATTCCTGTGGGTGAATTGATAAATACCATCTTGATGATGTTATTATTTTCCTTTCGGGTTACATATACTATCTATTTTAGTTACTGTTCTAAAAAGTATTCTTGTGATATGGTTCCTATTGTTTTGGTAAAGTTCTTTGTTTCTTTTTCTATTGAGCCAACAAGATCCAGCGATGGACAGTTCTCTTCATAACCCACAAAGTTCATTCGCTTGAATGCATTTTTAATCATTGATATAAAAAAAAAAAAAAAAACAAAAAAAAAAACGGTTGTATATAACTGATATCCTAAACGTTTCTGAATGAGTAAGATGCCAGGCATGAAAGTTTCGATCTACCGAGGAAATTAAAGAACATGACTCGAATCCTTAGATTAATATTTTGGTTTTGTATTATCTTGGGGTGTTGTAGAAAATTACCCCAAACGCATTGTTCTATGTTCTGTGTTACATAATAGAACGGATATTTTTGAATGTGTTGGATGCGATGTATGATATCCATATGAAAATCTTCTTCTGATGTGGCTATTTAAGAACATGACTCAAGTTAACAAGCTTAATATTTTGGTTTTGTAGCTTCTTACGGTGTTGGATAAAAGAATCCCTAATTCAACCTATTCTATATTCAATTTCCTTTTATCTTATACTGGTTTAGTTATAACTGATTCAATACAATGAGGCGTTTGATTTAACCATTTAGAAACTGGTTGTATGTTGATGATAGGTTAATATTTTCATTTTGTACAATCTTGTGATTATAATGTGGTAATATAATACTTATGAAATGCACGAATTCCCTTGTTCCTCTGATTAATATATTGGCATGAAATTTTCTTACTGAAGTAAGATGATGATCTTAAATACAATTTCTGTCTCTGCCATATCCGCAAGTAGATGCTACTTTATTGCTATTCTACACAGGAACCAATAATCATAATCTCTACCTATAAAAGGCAGGATGTGTGTGTGTGTATGTGCAACGAATGCACCGCCGCAGTTTTCGACTGGTTTGCACCAAAATTTACATGCACTTGCTCCAATTTAGTGGAAAGGCCAAGACCGACTTTGCTTTTCCCAACTCATATCGATAGTAGAAATAATCGATTTTTTCATGCTTCTACGGCAGTTTTCATGTAGTTTGCGGCCATTTTCTACTGGCCAGAGTGAGAGCCTATATAGCTGGCTGCCACGAATAGGCAGGAAGATTCTATTGGTCAGCGTGAGAGCCAACATCTGATACGAATGTTAACTAGCATGCAAAAAAAATCGATAGCTGCATTCGTCACAAGTGGGAAAAATTTAAATCTGCATTGCACTTTACTTCAATTGGCTCATTCGCTTGCTTAAACTCAACGTTGATTCTGATTCTGCAGAACTGGGTTGGGTGTGAAAAAGTATTTGTTGTTAACATTCTTTTTCATTCGGTTTTTCCAGTTACGAGTCCTTTTTTAAAGCTGATCGTTTCGTGTTCATTTTGTTTAGTTCTTTTTTCGTAACAGATTTAATGTTTAGTATAGAGCTTAGAAAAAATTCGCAGCGTGAGATAGGCAAGAAGTAAGGTATGTAGCAATATCAGCACGGCAAATGGCACTCCTTTAAAGGCAAAGAAGGGCAAAAAAAGTCATGTGATAGCGATTGCTGTATGAGTCGTACGATTTTTGAATCAAGCATGGGCAACGCCGGACCATGTTGCTAGTCTGTAATTATATACAATGCAGGATTAGGCACCCGTTTATCTTGCAAGATGATGGTTGCGTTCTGTTTGGTCAAAATTCAGTTTTTTGGGTGTCAGACTGGAATGACTACTCCAGCCTGCAGGCTTGGGTGATACTATATAGATGCTATGCCCTCCAATTCTCAGTCGTATCAACAAAATTCAAAGAAATACAGGAATTACATTTGGGGTCAGCTTAAATACATTAATTACTGGAAGGTTTTCAGCGTTAACAACCAACCACCTTCTACGCTTCACCCTAGGGTTTTCTGTTTGGGTTAACTTCCATACCTTTTAAAACCGTATTTGTATATGACCACAACATAGCGGAGGGGTGACAATATCAGTGTGACAATATCTAAAGAATAAAATAACTGAAAACTTATATTGATACAGTGTAACCCGGATATAAGAGACCCGGATATAAGAGAAACCCGGATTTAAGAGAAACCAGGATATAAGAGAGATTTTCTCTGGTCCCAAATTAGAGCCTGTGTTACCTAAACAAAATAGACCAAACCCGGATATAAGAGACCCGGATATAAGAGAAACCCGGATTTAAGAGAAACCAGGATATAAGAGATTTTCTCTGGTCCCAAATTAGAGCCTGTGTTACCTAAACAAAATAGACCAAACCCGGATATAAGAGACCCGGATATAAGAGAAACCCAGATTTAAGAGAAACCAGGATATAAGAGAGATTTTCTCTGGTCCCAAATTAGAGCCTGTGTTACCTAAACAAAATAGACCAAACCCGGATATAAGAGAAACCCGGATTTAAGAGAAACCAGGATATAAGAGAGATTTTCTCTGGTCCCAAATTTGAGTCTGTGTTACCTAAACAAAATAGACCAAACCCGGATATAAGAGACCCGGATATAAGAGAAACCCGGATTTAAGAGAAACCAGGGTATAAGAGAGATTTTCTCTGGTCCCAAATTAGAGCCTGTGTTACCTAAACAAAATAGACCAAACCCGGATATAAGAGACCCGGATATAAGAGAAACCAGGATTTAAGAGAAACCAGGATATAAGAGAGATTTTCTCTGGTCCCAAATTAGAGCCTGTGTTACCTAAACAAAATAGACCAAACCCGGATATAAGAGACCCGGATATAAGAGAAACCCGGATTTAAGAGAAACCAGGATATAAGAGAGATTTTCTCTGGTCCCAAATTAGAGCCTGTGTTACCTAAACAAAATGGACCAAACCCGGATTTAAGAGAAACCCGGATATAAGAGACTTCTTCTCCGGTCCCGACAACTCTCTTACATCCGGGTTACACTGTATTATTTTTACAGTCGTAAAGATTTAACTTATTTGCTAAATAGAATTGCAGGTCGAAAGGGTAAAATTTAATTTCCCAAAATGTGCGCATGACATCAGCCACTGTTTCTTCACCTCAGAAATATTTTACGAACTTAAACTTTGTAATGAAGCAAGAACCAATAAAATCCGACTTACCCACAAAGTAATGAGTATTGAACCATATACCTGACAACCTTGTATGCAATAATCGATCCACAGCGCTATTAGACGCTTATAAAGACAGAGTAGTGAGCTGTTAAATGAACGTCTTTAACAACAGCCGTGATTCAATATCCCGGCATGTATACTCGTAGACACTCACCTCGTTCGTCACAAATCAAACAAGCTCTCAATCATAGCCTGCCCCAGACCCTACAACAGTGATAAACATTAAGTTTTGCACTTTTATGTGACATCAACAAATCAAAATTACATGTTGATGTTTTCGTCTCTAATATAACAAAGATTGCGTAGATATTCGTTTTCGTTGACGGAGAGATGCGGAACTTTTCGACAGTTTCTTGTGAATAGGGGCCAAATTTGCCAAACAAGAGGTTTTCAACTATGTTATCCGCCACGAAAAATCGATTTTGAACACTCAGCGGATATGAAATGTTACTCTGTTACATCTTATGCGTCGATACCAACGACGCTGAGCGAACGGCTCCTTTTTGCGTGTTGTCACTGGTCGGACTGAAATCTCAAATCTTGAAGACTGGAGTAGGGGTGTGAGGAAGACTGGCGAGACGTCACCTTTAGAAAGAAAACTGGTTACTCATTAATGTTAGTTGTAGAACTGAAATCTCCTGCAAGAGAGAAACACTTTATTGTTGGTGACGTAGTAGATTATTTCCTGGTGTCAAGAAAATAGAAAATAATCACGTACCTCCGACGAGTCCTTGCTGTCATTAGACTGAATTTGTTGTCCAAAACTTCTGTGTACTTAGTCAAAATGTTAGTGTTATTTTTTATTTAAGATTTTTCCGCCTTCGGCTGGGTTACTTATACTCATTACGATAATCGGGATCATTATGATTAAGGCTTACTTCCACATCACATTGAAACACCAATTCACGTACGAACGCCGAAGTTAAGCAATGTCGAACCTAGTCAGTACCTAGATGGATGACTGCTTGGGAATACCAGATGCTGTAAGCTCGGATATGTGGGTGACATGGCTTACGGCCACGTTACATGGAAACATCGGTTCCTGTACGATCACTAAAGTTAAGCAACGTCGAACCTTGTCAATACTAACATGGGAATACCAGGTGTTGTAAGCTTGGACGTGCGCATGGTTTACGACACTTCACATTGAAACATTGATTCTCGTATGATCACTGAAGTTAAGCAACGTCGAATCTTGTCAATACTAAGATGGGTTACCAGATGCTTAAGTTTGGAAGTGTCGGTGGTATAATAAATAATGACACGAAATTATTAATTGGAAAGCCGATTTCCAATTCCAGTTTGTTTCGTTATTATGCGCAAATACCATTGAAAAATGTACGAATCCACATTTTATCCCCCTGACTATGGGTTAACTAGTAAACCATTATTATCTAAAAAAATAAGATATTAAGATTTCGGCATTAAAAACAAATATGTCGTCAAACAAAAACACCCAAACCATTATGATTAACTGCATTGTTAGTATCAACATATTATCATTTCGAATTATTATTGAGTTTTCGCAACAATAATGAATGACGGTTTTTAATGAAGATACTTTTAGTTTTATTTTCTTTGCCGCTGCAGTAAGTGTATTAATGTTTATTTACACTTCTTCACTCACTTGAAATTCCCTTTTGAATTTGTTGGATTCTTTTATTACTGAATAAAGTTTCTTATTTCTTTCATGTTCTTTGACAGATCATCATCCAGTCTTCTGTAGTTTATAGGTATTTTGAAGAACGATTTCCGTCATTAGTTGAACTAATCCTCTGCCTCCTTGGGATCTGGACACATAGAGACGATCAACATTAGCCTTAGGATGATACATGCGTTGACAAGTGAGAAGCTTTCTCGTTTTGACATCCACTCGCTTAATGTCAACTATAGTCCTATTAAGGATGCTGAAACTGTATTAGACTACAGGGACATCCAAAGTGTTTATTGCTGATGATCTGTTTTGTGAATTCAACTCGGTATTTAACACCAGGTGAACACGTGCCTGTAGTGTTCTTTTCTTACTTTCTCTTTCATTTTTTTTGTATTTCATCTCCTTCGCTGACTCCTAGGTATTTATAGGCTTATTTTTGTTCCAGTCCTGTTATCTTTGTAACAAAATCTAGATCTATTAAATATTGAATTCTCCCATTTTTGAATGTTCTTTTTGTACATTTATCTAATCCGAAATCCATACCTATGTAAACAGTGAAAAATTTTACATTATTGAATCTACCCTTCATCTCATTGTCGTCTTTGGAAAAGAGTTTGATATCATTCATGTAGAAGAAGTGATTAAACATATTCTTTTTTTTTTTACATTATATCCATGGTTATAACTGTTTAGTTCATGCGAAAGTGAGATTAAGGACAGACAGAACAGGAAGGGCGACAAGGAGTCTCCATAAAAGATTGCTTGTTGAATATTCAAATATAGGAAGTGTCAATACATTTGGTCTGATTTAGGTATAATGTGGTATTCCACAGTTCCATGCTATGTTTAAAGAAATTTACTATCACTGAGGAAACTTTGAACATTTCCAAAGCCTTAAGGATCAAAGAGTGTAGCACAGTAAGAAAAGCTTTACGATAATCTATCCAAAGTGTGCTTAGATTTCTACTCTTTTTTCCTGCAATTATGCAGGATCATTTTATTTATTAATAGTTGATCTAGGCAACCAGATGAAACTCTTCGACATTCCTTTTATTCCAGAAGAAGAATATTGTTTTCATCGAGAAAAGAGTAAGTACAGTTCGTCAGGACAGACGTGATCAATTTATATGTGGTGGACAGACATGATATTAGCCTATTATTTTCGGTCTATGTGTTTCAACCGTTTCGGTAGGGAATATGTAATACTTTCAGGGATCTATTCTAGAATTTCATTGGGTTTATTACTTAGCAGTCATAAAGATCGTGCAAGAATTTTTTAATTTTATTTTTTATTTATTTATTTATTGATGGCTGTTTTTCTAAGTTCTAAGTCTTAACCGATTCTTACCGATTCTTGTCAACTTAACCGATTCTTACCGATTCTTTTCCCGTTCAGAAATTCTTTAAATATATTTTTGAGGTTGGTTCCATGTGACTGTGAGTGACACACTAGTGATTAATGGTAAGGTCTATTATTATTATTATTATTATTATTATTACAGATTATCTCAGAAAAAAGAAAAAAAACTTGACTTTATAAAGAAAGAGTAAACAAAAATGGATTTGGTTATTGTAAATATAAAGAAGATAAATAAAAATCCGAAAAATAAAAACAACAAGTGGTGAGATCTTTCGTAATTAGACAAAAGCAATAAAAAAAAAAAGAACAGATCCGTGGATATAATAACAGTTGCCTTTGGAACCGTCCAAGAATTTCTTCTGATGTACAGATAGAAAGCAAAAATAACGAGACATAGCAAAAGATTTCTTTTTCAATTTACATATACTATATTTTTAATAGTTTTAAGTTCTTTCGGTTATTTATCAGTTAATTTTTTTTATTAATTTTTATTTGTGTTTCTTTCATCTTAATTCGTTATTTAGAGATTGTAGTAATTGGTTATTTAGAGATTGTAGCAATCGGTTATTTAGCAATAATTGGTTATTTATCGATTGTAACAATTGGTTATTTAGCAATAATTGGTTATTTAGAGATTGTAGCAATTGGTTATTTAGCAATAACTGGTTATGTAGAGGTTGTAGTAATTGGTTATTTAGAAATAACTGGTTATTTAGAGATTGTAGAAATTGGTTATTTAGCAATAATTGGTTATTTAGAGATTGTAGAAATTGATTATTTAGCAATAATTGGTTATTTAGAGATTGTACCAATCGGTTATCTAGCAATAACTGATTATTTAGGGATTGTAG